TACCCTTCTCATTTGCTCCTCTGACCACGTCATCCATTTCTCATTCTATAATACACATTAGATTTTGCTTAGTTCACATGCTGTGCAATCTGGCTGACATAGGAGAGGGAATTCTCCTGGCTTAATTGCTACGGCAGTGTAGAGTTAAATAAAGAAGCTTAGATATTATTTAGTCTAGTCCTCTTCATTTTACAAACTAAGGAAGCTGAGAGAGGTCCAAAAGAGTAAAGATTTCCTTAAGGCCACAAAAGGGAGTTGAACGACAACTACAATATACTGTCCATATTCTCAGTCCTCTTAGTCGCAAGAAATTGGCTTAATACCCCCATCCATGACCTTGGCTGCCAAGCTGGCCTTGGGAAGGGAGTATAGCAGCTTTGCCAACAGGGAAACCCAAGGGAAACCATAAGTCAGTTAAGTAAAGGCCTAGTTACTCTTATAATACCAACAAGAACTCTCAAGTGTCAGGAAACAGGAAAAACACATCAGGAGAACACAGGGGGCCATGCTGTCTAGTATTAACTCTTTTGGAGGTTACAGATTTTGAAACAAAGAGGAGATTCTGCGATTAAGTCACTTAAGTCCTAAATTGAAGATTACTGTATATGATGATAAACTGCAATATATGCCCTTAAGTAACAAAAGAGATATAGTTATGGTAGGTTCTAACAAGATAACAATTGGATGGCCTTTACGTATTATTTTCATCCAAGCATACACAAAGAAACTGGATACCATATACCAGTGGCTCTCAAAGTGTAGTCCACACACCTTTGGGGTAGAGGCATGAGGAGGGATTCCTGAGATCCTTTCTAGGAGTCTGTGAAGCAAAAAAAACTTTCATAATAATACTATGACATTATTTATTTTTTTTCCACTTTGTGGACATTTGCACAGATGGTGAAAAGTAATGGTGGATAAAATTGTTGGTACTTTAGCACAAGTCAAGGCAGTAGCACAAAACTATACTAGTAGTTATATTCTTCATTGCTCTCCATTCTTGATCAAAATAATGTCAATTTTACTTTAGAATGTCCTTGATGAAATAGCAAAAAATATAACTTTTAGCTCAACCTTTGAGCATACATATGTGGTCAAGTAGACATAAAGCATCTCTGCATACAGTATCGTACAATGTTGTCCAGAGGATTTGGTTGCCTAAGTCAAAAGCACTTGTGCAACTGATTGAATTTGGAGCTGAAGTAGCTGCTTTGTTCATAGAGCATTATTTTTACCAGAAAAAAATTATTGACATACAAACCAGGGTTACTCAGAAATAAAATATTTGGCAGAAATTTTGTCAAAAATGTAACAAACTTAATCTATCACTTTAAGGAAAACAACTGTCGGTATATATTGTCAATGACAAAATCCCAGCTTTCAAGTGAAAATTAGAATTTTGGAAACTCATATTTGCAGCTGTGAGCTTGACAGTTTCCCAATAATTGAATATTTTTTTGACAAGATGGATGAGAACATTAAAGAATATTATTGTTTGACATTGTGTAATGAAATATGTCAACATTAGGAAGACCCATATAACACAGTGAACCACTGATTTCCAAATGACCCATGCTTGATGTTACAAAATCATACATGGATAGAAGATCCATTCCAAGTATAAGATGCACCAATGAAATTTAATATAACAGAGTAAGAAAGGATACTGAAATAGTTTCAGATACTACTTTGCTACTAACCTTTAAAAAACTACCATTTGTTAAACTTTGGTGTGGTGTCACAAAATATCCATGATTATCTTAATATTCCTCTTTCCAGCTACATGATTGTAAAATTTCTTCATCTTCTTATATCAAAAGACAGTGAAACAGATTAAATGCAGAAGCAGATGTAAGAATCCAGCTACCTTCCAGTAAGTCACACGTTAATTTTGCAAAAATGTAAAACAATGCCACTTCTGGAATGATACTTATCAAAATCACAAAATGTAAGTGTTGATGAAGATGTAGAGAAATTGGAATCCTTGTGTATTGCCAATGGGGATGTAAAAATGGCACAGCCATTGTAGAAAACAGTATGGTAGTTCCTAAAAATTAAACATAGTGTTCCCATGTGATTCAGCAATTTCCACTTCTAGGTATGTAGAGTATCTCAAAGAATTAAAAGCAGGGACTTGAACAGATTTGTGCATGCCAATGATAAGAGCAACATTATTCACAACAGCCAAAAGGTAGACGCAATCCAAGTGTCCACTGATGAAAGAATGGATAAACAAAATGTGGTATAGCCATACAATGGAATATTGTTCAGCCTTAAAAAGGAAGGAAATTCTGACACATGCTTCAGCATGGATGAACCTTAAAAACATTACACTAAGTGAAATAAACCAGATACAAAAGGACAAATATCCCATTAATATAAGGTACCTGGGATGGTCAAATTCATAGAGATATAAAGAATAGTGGTTACCAGGGTTCGCGGGAGAAAGTAATGTGAAGCTATTATGTAACAGGTACAGAGTTTTAGTTTGGGATGAATAAAAAATTCTGGAGATGGATAGTGGTGATGGTTGCACAACAATGTGAATGTACTTAATGCCACTGAATTGTCCACTTAAAAATGATTAAAAGGGTAAATCGTTATATTTTACCAAAATAAAACAATGCCACACTTCTTACTGATTTCAGGGAGGTGGTTTGGAAGATAGTTATTTTTCATTAAAAATAGTATTTACAGACATAGTGCCTTTATTACTGTTTTGTAAATTAAGAAATACTTAAAAAGTTTCCAAGCTTTAATTTCTAATATGGTAAATATGGACAGCTATAACCCATATAAACAGAAGCTCTAAGGTTCTCAGTACTATTTGTGAGGTAAGGAGGGACTGAGACTAAAAAGTTTGAGAACTTCTGTCTTATATGAAGATTTATTCTCTCTTCTCACACCTGCATTATGTGAAGACCTTCGTTTGTTGATATAGCTTCATTTGACAGCAATATCACTTGCAGCCTGGAGACTAGCAAAAAAAAAAAAAAAAAAAAAAAGGACAGCCTGAATTGTCACAATCATCACATCAGCTCTATAATTACTATTGTTCCCTGGATGCACCACGACTATATGGACAGCGCAACACAAACCTCCATCCACACAAATGATTGGCAGTGTATAAAAGAAAACTGTAAAAGGCTTAAACGCTGATATGTTCCAAAGCAGTTTTGTAGCTTTCTAACAAGAAACACCCACTTTCTTTTTTCTCTTGAATTTTCATTTGGATTTCCAGTTTCGGGCAGATTTGGAAATGGGGACGGTGGCGGCATTGTTTCTGAAAACCAGCGCCTCCGTGCAAAGAATTGAATTCTCTCACCATCTTGCTACTGGTCTGTTGCAGAGGGGTGTGGTTAGAGTGCTAGGAAGCAATCCAAAACAGCAGCTGAGGCTGCCCAAAGCCGTGTCCAAGCAATCATTTTCTCCATTTTGGGCCAAGTCGATTTGCCCCAGCAAGGGGCAGAATGTTTGCTTTACGGGGAGGAGGAAAGTAAAAATAAAATTATAAAGTACGGACGGAAACCAGCAACCCCTAAGCAGGTTTCATGCTGCGTGGATGTTAAACGACTGAAAGGCCAATGATGTGCGCGAGGGGCAAAAGAGATCTGTTAATTCGGAGTCTACAGCTGCGGTACTTTTGATGACAGGTCTGCGGTTTTGGGTGGGGGCGAACGCGACATGGTTTTCTTATCCGGACCGTCTTCCTGCATTCGTTTTGGGCCGCGCCTGTGACGAGTCTCGCGGACTGCGGCTGAAGCAATCCCAAACAAAGGGGAATGATGGATGCCCTCCCCCAGGGCGGAGGAGGAAAGGTGGCCGGCCCCAGGTGGCCGCGCCAGGTGTCTCTCCGAGGTCGGCCGTGCAAGCCGCGGGGAAGGGAGGGTCCCAGGGACGTCGCGGCGGGGAGGCCGGGCAAGGCTGG